TTATAATTTTTATTATTATTGTATTTAATATTTTTATAATATTATTTTATATTATATTATATTAATTTATCATTAATATTAATATTATTATTATTATTAGGAGTTTATTTTTCGACGAGTTATTTTGTGAGTATATTTGTGAGAAACATAAGTTTATAATATTAATTATAATTTATATTATTTTATTTTATTATTAATTTTTATTATTACTTTATTTCATATTTTTATAATATTATATTATATTAATGTTATTTTATTACGAATGTTTTTTTATTTTTCCACGAGACACTATGTGAAACATTTCTTTATTTTTAAAGTTGTACCTTTTTATTTTATGTCAATTAAGTATTTTAATTTAATTTTAGTTTTTTTTTTTTTTTTTTTAATGATTTCTTTTTGACATTTCATTCTAGTAAACGTATGGGAAACGATTTAAAAAAAAACTGTCGATGGTTGAGAAAATAAATTGCATTGGCTTACTAAGAAAACTTCTTTCAAGGTCGGTCATTATTTATTACATCGTTGGTATCTACCAAATGAATACATATATATACATACATACATACATACATACATACATACATATAGATATATACATATATACTTGTATTACGTTATCATTCGTCGAATGAAGTTGGAAATTTTATACAAATGTCACAAATGACTCGTACACTTAATTTTTAAATTTAATAACATCAACAACAACAACAACAATTTTACACAAATATTAATAATATTTAAATCAATTTTTTTTTTTTTTTTTTTTTAAAGAACAGAAAAAAGAAATACACTTAGAGGAGTTAGAAAAAAAAAGAAAAAAAAGAAAAAAAAAGATTTACTTATACCAAAAATAATTCGCGTATCATTTGTCAAACGATTGTCAACTTGACTGACTGATAAACTTTGTAAATAATTCATAAATGCCTATCGAACGTATATATATATATAAATGAACATGAACGATCTAATCCCTAGCACATATTTTTTTTAACAAGGTCAAGGTCGTCAGGATCAATTTAATGCTACCACGTCAAGAAGTGACCTTTTTTTTTAATTAATTTGTTCATTCGAAACAAATTCATTTGGTCATTTTCTTACGTCATTATTTACATCCACAGAAGATATAATAATAATAATAATAATAAATAATAGATATTTTTTCTAACTATTGTAAATCACAATTTCTATACTAAAAATAATAAATTTTCATGGGATCCTAAAACCACTTTTGTTCAATAACAATCGTTCAAAATTCAGAACTGCATTGTCAAAATAAAATATTTAGGTTGGTAGATTTAATTTGATCACTTGGTTAATTATAAATTATTATTTGCTCATTAAAAAAAAAATATATATATATATATATATAAAATAATATTATTATAAATATTAATTTAATTATTATATTATATTACTATATAAATTATATTATTTTATAATATTATTATATAAATTATATTATATTTTATAATATTAATATTAACTTATCATTAATATTATAAAATAGTAATAAAATTTATTTCAATTAATTTATAATAATAAAATTAATTTATAATATATATAATATATAAAACCGAGTTCTAAATAAATTAATTTAATAAATAAAAGAATTCTTAAATAAAATCAAACTTGCTAATGAAAATTTCGATGAATTATCGAATCATATATATCACACAGTAGAGAATTTAGTTGATGGTGAAATCTTACCTTATCCCTGATACGTCGTTTGATGTAACTCCTGGTGGTACAGCTGTTCATCAAATCCGTTTTCTGATGTTGCTGTTTTTCAACAGCATTAGCAACCGAGGGTGGTTTCTCTGACCACCTAACGCCATGCTCGTTGTTAGTCTTGTTCTTCGCGTTACTTTTCTCGTTATTATTAATTTGTTGTTGCTGTTGTTGTTGTTGCTGCTGATTATGCTGTTGCTGTTGCTGACGATGATTACCGTGATTTATGGTAGTCGTCATAGTAGTTGGTGGTGTTGTGGGTGCGTCCCTGTGACTCTTTGTACGACGCAGCAATCGTCTCACGGTATTTTTCACGGTGGCGGCAATGTGTGTGCCACCACCACCACCACCACCACCACCTCCACCACCACCCCGTTCGCCTCCACCACCTCCACCACCACCACCACCACCACCAGCATTGGATTCATGATGTTGGTGGTGGTGGTGGTGGTTCATCGATTTGTAGTCAACCTTCTTCACCCTCGTGCCTGGAACAGGCGCCACCTTGTGGCCACCCGTCTCCATCACGTACATTGCAGCCACTGTGTCAACTTGAGCTGGTGCAATTCTCAACAATTTTAACCTGTCCTCTTCCCAACAAGGCTTTTCTTCTTCTTCTTCTTCTTCTTCACCTTTATCTTCTTGATGATAACTGAAGACAATTATTGTCAAATCCTTTAGAACCTTTCTTATTGTTCTTCTTCTTCTTCTTCTTCTTCTTCTTCTTATTCCTTGTTCACACAATTTTTTCTATTCACAATCGTAAATTGTTCCAAAATGGTGCACAAGAAGAGAATTATAATTCGAAGATACAATATGATTCGTGTGTGTTATTAGTTTGTGAACTATCTTCTTATTGTGACTAATCAATCACACCTTGTGAATTATTTCTCAACGCTTATCTAAGGGCGTGTATCCTTTTGTCTAATCTCACGGATACAACGTGATAGCGTGATCTTCAATTTGTACTTTTATATAACCTTGAATAATAATAATTGGTGTAATGATGACGATGAAAATGATGTTATTACAAATATCAAACCCTATTAATCAACAACAACAATAACAATAACAGTAACAACTATATTATTTATATTCAATAAATTTGTCTTTTAATATTTAAATTAAATTTGAACGTTTTATAATTGTCTCTTACTATCCTTGAAAAATAAAAAGGAAATAAAACAGAAAGAAAGAAAAGAAAAGAAAAGAAAAGAAATGATAACCTTAGACCTTGCTAAGGTAAAAGAAGAAGAAGAAGAAGGTGGTGGTGGCAGTAGACGACGATGGTGACGATGAGGGAAGACAACGACGACGACGAAGATGATGATTTTCTTCTTCGGGTGGTTTCGTGAACACTCGTGAAAATCCTCTCGTTCGCGCACATTCGTAATATAAAACGAACTAGACTCAATATATATATATATATAGTAACGAAACGATTATAAAACACCCCGTTGAATGTATCTTCGTATTTTGAGGAGGGGGTGTTGGTTTTGTGCGTGAGTGGGTTGAGATTTGTTGATAGTTGTGACGAAAGATAGGAGTTGTTGCACTTTTCTATGAATAATTTCAATTGAAAACTTTGAATGAAACTTGAAATGAAAAATGAAATGTCTGTCTGTCCTGTCTATCTCTCTCTTTCTTTCTGTCTGTCTCTCTTACTTTTAAATGAATTTATTTAAAAAGGGGACACTATTTAAATGGATAATAAGAAAAAAAGGATCGATAATTGTAGAAAAACTGAGGATGAAATTCAGGAAAAATGGCAGCAGACGACGACGACGCGGCGATGCGGTCGACCTCTTTGACGAACGAACAGAAACCCTGAATTTAATGTTCTCTCTCTCTCTTTCTTTCTTTCTCTTTTCTATCTTGTGTTATTGTCTATACACTATTTTCTTTCTCTTTCTATTATATATATAAATTTTTTTCCCTTTGCTTTTGTGTATTGTGTAGTCGATCTCGCGAGCAACTAACGACGAGTAGACACACGGTGTTTCCTTCCTTCGACAAAATCACCCTTCTCTCTCTCTCTCTCTCTCTCACACGTTCTGCTGGCTAACACGTCGTACGAGAAAGAGAAAGGAAAATGAGAGGAGAGAATGAGGAGAGTAGAAAAAGAGAGAGAGAGAGAGAGAGGAGAGGGAGCCTTGAATCCACTCAGAGAAGCGCGTTAATCGTTTTCTCCTCTCGCGTTCAACAAGGAGAAAAGAGGGTCCTCTCTTCTCCTCTCTTCTCCTCTCTTTTTCTCTTCCTTTAATCCTCTCCTTCTCTCTCTCTTTCTAGCCCTTTTTATCGATAATACTAACGTTGTATTATATATATATAAAAAAAAAAAAAATATGTTAAATACAAAAGTATCGATCTGATCTCGTTGACCTAATTTTAGCCTATTGAAATATTATTGTTTATTATAATTTAGAATTACTATAAATTCCCCTCCCCTCCTCTCCCTTCCCTTTCACCTCCCCAGCCACCCCTACTTCTCTCTTTCTATTTGTCTTTTGATTTCTAACATTCTCATATTTTTTTTTCTATTTTTTTTTTATATATAATAATTTTTATTTATATTGGGGTTGTTTGTTCGCCGAAATGTAATTTCGTTTATATTTTTGTGAAAAAGAAAAAAGAAAAAAAAAAGTGAAGACGACAATTCTTTATTTCGAGATTAAACTTCGGATTTTTTTTGAGTGAGTTGTTTGAAAATAGTTTAAATTTGCTAAACGAGATTTAACGGTGTTGTTTTTATTAGCCAATTTGCATTAATTTATTTCAAAATTGTGTCAAGAAAAATATGTACATAATTACTTTTCGAACAACCCCTTTTCTATTATAATATAATAATTCATTTTAATTCGATCAGTTTATTTCTATTTTTCTTTTTTGTTTGTTTGTTTGTTTGTTTGTGTACATTTAATTCTCAATCAATTTTTTTTATTTTCCGATAATAGTTCATTTATTGTAATTTAATAATAAATAATTAATTTATTTCTTCTCTTCTTTTATTTTTTTTTTCTAATCTCCACATTGTTTTTTAATTGTTTTTTTCTTTGTAATATAATTCATTTAATTCTTAATGAATTTTTTTATTCTCAAGAAAATATTTCATTTTATTATATTACGATTCAATAATAATTAATTAATTTATTTCTTCTGTCTTCCTTTTTCTTTTTCTTCTAACCTTCTCATATTTTTTTTTTAAATATATATATATATAATTCATTTAATTTAATCAATTTTTTATTCTCAAGAAAATATTTCATTTATTATGATTCAATAATAATTAATTAATTTATTTCTTCTGTCTTCCTTTTTTTTTTCTTCTAACCTTATCATATTTTTCTTTTTTTTTTTTAATATATATAATTCATTTATTATGATTCAATAATAATTAATTAATTTATTTCTTCTCTTCTTCTTTCTCTTTCTCTTTACTCTTTTTCTTCAATCATTTTCATTTTAGAAATGTAATCAATTTAATTAATTCATCCTCCCCCTTTCATTGAGTATCACCTTTTAACTCTCTCTTTCTTTTCAATTATTGTTTATTCATATTGAAAAAAATAAAAAAAATAAAAAAATAAAAATAAGTATAACATTTCAATTGATTGCTCTTTTCTTTTTTTTTTGATTTTGTAACAGACATGCGCACTTTTCAAAGCGCATCGTAAAATTACGATACACGCATCGACGTAGTAACTTAGGTCAGCGCACTCATAAAAACCTTCCCCCTCTATCCCTCCCTCCAACCCTCCCTCTCTATTCACCCTTTTTATAATAGAAAAAAAAAAAATCATTCGATACTCTCGATATTAATTTATATTAAACATATATTAAATCGTTCGATACAAAATGTCTGACTCTCTTTTAACTTTAACCCTTTCGCACCGTCTGATACATATGCTGTCCCAGTTCTGGAAAATTTGTCAATTCAAAATTCAATTGTGAAATTACTGTTGTTGATGGTGCACTGTTATGGGGGACATTTATGCGTCTCCAAGTCTTTCAATCTTTTAGGCATAAAAGTTATTTTATTTAATAATCGTTTGGAAAAGAAATGAAGTGATCTTTGTAATGGGACTCACTCGGACTGATTTTTCATCGTATTGATAAAGGTTAAATAATCGTTCAAATTCATTTTAATTTAGTTTCATATTTAATGTTCATATTTATAGTTCTAATATATTATAATATTCTTATCCTAATATATATAAATAAATATATATATATATGTAGGATAATAAAATAAGGGTTAAATAATCGTTCAAATTCATTTTAATTTAGTTTCATATTTATGTTCATTTATTTTTGTATTTAATGTTCATATTTATGTTCATTTAATGTTCATATTTATAGTTCTAATATATTATAATATTCTTGTCCTAATATATATAAATAAATATATATATATATATATATATGTAGGACAATAAAATAAGGGTTAAATAATCGTTCAAATTCATTTTAATTTAGTTTCATATTTATGTTCATTTAATGTTCATATTTATAGTTCTAATATATTATAATATTCTTGTCCTAATATATATGTAGGATAATAAAATAAGGGTTAAATAATCGTTCAAATTCATTTTAATTTAGTTTCATATTAAATGTTCATATTTATGTTCATTTATTTCTATATTTAATGTTCATATATATTTATGTTCATTTAATGTTCATATTTATAGTTCTAATATATTATAATACTCTCTCTCTCTCTCTCTTGTCCTAATATATATAAATAAATATATATATGTAGGACAATAAAATAAAAAAAAAAATAAAAAAAAAAGAAGAAGAAGAATGTGTGGGATCGAGGTCTTTCTCTTTTATCCGAGATTAGCGTAAAACGTGTGCTCGGCCATGTGAGACTATCACCCATATGACGTCATACTTCACCACCACCATCCATGCGAATCGATGCGGTTTTACGGTGTTCTGATAATACTCAACTTGCTTGCTTGCTTACTTGCTTGTTGCACTGCCTACGATCTGAATTTATCTACGAGATGACATATACTTCTATTTCACACACAAACACACACATAAATTCTTACTCACTCAAAACTATACATGCATAAACATACGTACATTCTTACTCACTTAAAACCACACACACACACACACACAAACAGATACATACAAATACTCACTAACTCAAAACCACACACGTATACATACATTCTCTTGTTGCTCATTTAAACATACACACATGCAAATTCTCACTAATTCAAAACCACACACGTATACATACATTCTCTTGCTGCTCATTTAAAAATACACACATGTAAATTCTCACTAACTCAAAACCACACACGTATACATACGTACATTCTTACTCACTTAAA